GGAATGGTAAAAATTATAAAAAAGTTCAGCACTGCTGACACGATTTTGCAATTGAATCGTCATGGAGTTATTCTTACCTGCCTACTGAGAGGAAAATACAAAGTTAAAGAACCCAAAAAAGAGAAAGAAAAGGATATAGAGATTAAATGACAAAAGATATCCAGCTCCAGAGAGGTAAGGGTAAAACAACTGAAACTCTAAAGACCAACAAAACACTGAAAGCATGCAAGGTCACTAAAAGAAAAATGGAGTGAGGAAAAGAAAGGAGGAAATTGGTTTTCAATGATTTATTACAGACTAAAACTCATTAGAACTTCTGTATTGTCACATAAAAAGTAAAATGAACACCCACTCCGGTAGCTGTTGCTAGTCTCATTCCTGAATCTCCACAATGCTCCTAAAACACTTCCTTCTTTTCCTGATTTACACTTCACATAGGCAAAGCACCTGCTGTCTCCAGAGAAACCGTTCATGGCAGGTAACCGTGGCCTCCCCTGCCAACACTTCATGCAAAAGTTCTACTGAGTACAGCTCACTCTCACCAAAAACATTGCTTCTGCAAGATCAGCATTGCAGACAAGGAAGCAGAAGAAACTTGGCAAGAACAAGGGATAAAAGGAAAGCAAGCACGGCTGATGAACTGAAAAGAACACACGCTAGAGAAACCGTTCATGGCAGGTAACCGTGGCCTCCCCTGCCAACACTTCATGCAAAAGTTCTACTGAGTACAGCTCACTCTCACCAAAAACATTGCTTCTGCAAGATCAGCATTGCAGACAAGGAAGCAGAAGAAACTTGGCAAGAACAAGGGATAAAAGGAAAGCAAGCACGGCTGATGAACTGAAAAGAACACACGCTTCTTGCACATTCAGCAGCACACATCCAGGTGCAGCTGCGCCTGACTCACAAACGCTTTAACCAGCCAAAAACCGGTATGAAACGTCCTGAGGTCTCTGCTCCTGTCAACTCAAATTAATCGCACATATTTGTTATTATTGTTAATTACCGAGCAGTTTCCACACTGAAGCCACTGCTGGAGAACCACTGCTGGGGCCTGCAGGATATTCAAAGGATCTTGGTTGCAAGAACATCTGACGGGCTGTCA